AATAAAACACAACAATTGGAGGACTGCTTACCCGAGAGAAGGGGCGCAACTGGGGGGGTGTCGTGGGAGTTCCTTGGAATGAAACTTAATCTTCGGCAACATCAGCGGACGACGAGCTAAACAACAACAACAACCACGACAGGACAAGCATACGAACAAAGAACAGCAACCGCAGCAGCAGCAGTAGCAGTAGCAGTAGCAGCAACAACAAAAGAAAACAACAGCAGCAGCAACAACGACGACGACGACTTGCCTCTCTGGGTTACGCCAGCCTACCACGGGGCCCGCCTTGTCTTATCTTGTGGCACGCATACTGCACTGTACCATACCCTAACCTACGGTACCTTCTAGGGGGTGACGTGCGGTGTGGCGCCGGCCTAGCGTCCTCGCACACCACTTTCCCCCCTTCCACCAACAACGGTAGCTCGGTCTCTTGGTCATCCCCTAAACAGTTGGTACAGCAGTGTCGCAACACCCGCGAGGGGGGGGGGAGGAGGGTGTCAGGGAGTGTACAGGGCGACGGATACTCGATGAGGTGTAAACTGTGCACACGTATGGAAACACCAGCAGCGGTGAACAACGTAAGCTAGCTCCTGACCTCAAGTAGACAACGCCCTCGAGAGGTTAACAGAAACAAAATGAGCGGAACCAGGGGGTACAACTTACAACATTTCCCAACTAGCAGGTGTGTGTTTTTGTCGCTAGAACATCATGGGTTAGCTAGGCGAACTGGAGCAGCTGAAAAACGCCCAGAGTCGGCTCGAGTACAACTTTGTTGGTGGCGATGCCTCGTGGTGTGGGTCATCGCTACATCTGTACACACGGCAAGTAAGAGTGGATCTATTCCGCGCTCACCTTCCGCCGCAGCGCCACCGGGGACAGATTCGTCGGCCCCCTCCTCCCTGTACGCCTTCAAGAACCCCTCGAAAACCGTCGTCTTGCCCGACGCCTTCAGCACCACGTCCACCACTTCCTGCTTTTCGTGAAAGGTCGTAAACGTCGTTGTTAATAAAAATTACGGTCAGGGTTGTAGGCTTGTTGCCAATGGTTACGGTGCAACCTGTGGTGGTTACTTGTCGAAAGAATCAACCCCCCGACACCTACCAGCCGGCGTAGTCGTGTATTGCAGCATGGAAACAGAAAATAACGCAGAGAGAGAGAGAGAGAGAGAGAGAGAGAGAGCTGCTCTACCCTGACAGAGGGTCGGGGTCCCTCCTTGGGTGTGTGAAGTTACGCCTGGGCTCCGAAAACTGTAACGGCAAACCAGAAAAGCTAACTTGTACACAAGAGAGATTCATCTCTCCGACGTTCGTAGGTGGGTAGGGCGTAAACGCGTAGGGGCAAAGCGGTTACGAGGTGGTACAGAGCGGAACAGAGGGACGGGGGTTGAGAGACAACAAACAATACCCCGTTTCTCTCGAGTCCCCCACCCCTCCTTTTCGAGTTCAGAACTCTCGTATAGCTACGCAGTTCTTCCTCCGCTGCACCAGCCGTATCGGTAGCGTTAGTTCCACAAATACTGGTTTCACAAAGCGGTTAGACCCGAAACGACTTTCCCACCCTATTTGCTAACGCCGTCGTGGCGTCATAAAAAACTAAACGAGCTCACACTCTCCCAATTGTTCGCGTCTTCTTGCTGCTGCTGCTGCTCCTCCTCCTCCTCCTGCTGCCGTCCATCTACCGTCTCACGAAAGATACACCCAGACCCCCACGATATAGTCCGAAAGGTTTATGCTGAGGTGTGTACCAAGCACAACAAAGTATTGCTGTACCACAATCACACTTCAACCCTTTTGCGAGACGGTTTCGAGCACCACATAAGCCCAACCGGACCCCATTCTCCACACAAGAACAACCACACCTGTCACACACCTGCAACTAACTTTAAACACTTCCGACACACCACCCGCCGCAATTGACGAACGCCGCTACACACACATACGCCCCCCCGCCTGGGCCGGCGAAAACCGGGCGTATCGCTCCTTCGTCCAGGCATTGCAGGGATACAAAGGTCTCACGACTAAATATGCATATGGCATGCGTTTTACATGAGTACAGCCCCTACACGGGCGTACCTCGCCGTCCCCCAGAGACCAGGCATTGAAGGGATGCAAAGGTCTAACGACTAAATATGCATATGGCATGCGTTTTACACGAGTACACCCCCTACACGCGCGTACCTCGCCATCCCCCAGAGAAACGCCTCCCGCTCCAAGCGAAACCGTCGTGAAGTCGGCCTCCGACTCCGCCATGGCGCTGGCCAGGGTCCGCCTGTACACCAGGTCGTACAGCGCCCTGTGCTGCTCCTCCAAGCCACGGCCGCCACCGCCGTCTTCCTCCACGGGGAGCTCCGTGGGATGCAAGAACCTCCCCCCGGTCGTACTAGTCGAGGCTGACCCAGCCCCTGACCCCGCTTCGTCCTCCTCCTCCCGCGCTTGCTTTCCGTCGGCAGTATCGGTCGCGGCGGGGGTTGCGCCGACAAGAGCAGGGCGGATGGCCTCATGCGCCTCCTGACTGCCCTTGACCTTGACAGTCTTGGCGTCCCCTTTCGAGGGAAGAGGGAAAAAGGACAAAATTGTTTCCACGGCGTGCGGGGGTTACGGGGCGCACACTTGCCAGAGGGGCAGCGGTGAGAGAGCGGCACGCGTAGATGCTCAAAATGTCTTTTGTCTATCTGAATTAATGTTGTGTCTAGCGGCGCGGGAGGAGGGCGGGGGCATGCTCGCCCATCGTCCTCGTGACGCCGCGAAACAGGGACAGTCGACAAGACACACAGACACACAGACCGACAGCTGCAGAGATGCAGAGAAAGAATGGGAGAGCGAGAGAGAGAGAGAGGGAAAAAAAAACGACCACTTACAAAACATAACACTCAGGCTGAAGTCTTCGACGAGGAAACCACTAAAAAATATCAAATAAAGCTTCCGTTATAATCATTGCCGCTTCTTACCCTTCCGCACGTACTCGTCGCCGAAGGAGTCTCTCACCGCACCCTCAGCCACCCCGGCGGCCTCCTTGCTCAGGCTGGGCCTGTCCGTGCGCATGTAGGTGATGTAACCCGCCTCGTACAGCGCCTGAGAAAACGCCGAAAAATCGCGCAAAAGGCACGGAAAAGTGAGACCAAAAGAAAAAAGTAAGCAGAACTGTGAATTCCGAAATCGTAGAATACCAGCATCCTATTCTTGTTTGCGGCGGAACAAGAGCTGCAAGAGTCCACAACAAATTAGCTCAGCATGAGGCTTAGACTAGAGAAAAAAAAACAAGCAAGGAAAGGTCAACTTTATGATAGACGCGATGCCATACGGCACTACGCTTCGGCTGTGCGTCAATCGCTCAATGAGTACCCCCCCCCTCCCAAGATCAAAATTTACACACCGTCAACCCCCCCTTGCTCACCTGAGCCGCCCTCATGGTCTGATCCACTCCCAGCCGGAGCTTTCGGCTCGACTCCTGCTGCAGCGTGGACGTGATGAAGGGTGCAGGAGGCTGCCGCCTGACTCGTCTCTTGTCGACCTTGAGCACCTCGAGGGACGACAGCGACGCCGCCACGGCAGACGCTTTCTCCGAACCGAGAAGTTCCTACGAAAAACAAAAAAAAGAAGAAGAAAGGAACACATGCGTGTACATGAATGAAAGAAAAGAGAATAATATCTACATGACTGAGGAAATGAGAACAGAAAAAAGACAGGAGCTGTAGCACGTGCGTACCATGATTGGTCAGCGACGAGGAGAGGTGACGAGCTTTCAAGTAAAAGCCGGCAGGAAGGTGCACTCACGAGCTTGGAGGCGTCGAGCTTGTCCTTGATCTCCCCAGTGTCCGGATCGAAGTCCTTGCCCGTCACGACGGTCTTGGATCCCACTTCCACCAAACGGGCCTCGAACGACCGACCTTCCCCCACACACAGTTCGTAAAGGGCGCGTATCAACGGTAATGTGCACGTCCAACTTAAGAATAGGCTTGTTCAAAGACAAAAGACACACGGGCATTTACTTTGGGTTTGGCTTGTCCAAGGACAAAGACACGCTACCGTGTGCGTTACTGCCAGATCGAGAGAATTACATAGGCACAAAACAACAGTGATACGGCAGGTGAAGGTTATACGGAGAGAGTCGGGGGGGGGGGGTCTGAGAGGAAAAAATTAATAATACGTGTTTCCCCGCTGCTTTTTCTATCGACAGACAGAGAGAGAGAGTCACGTTGTAATGTTTTCGATTGGAGGGACTGTGCCACCACCACCACCACCGTGAAGAGCCCAAAAACGCAGGCAGCAGCTCTGCGAAAGCGGTAAATAAAAGTATTCAATACCTCCCACCCCCCACCTGAGATGTTCGAGTCAAAATGAATCGCCGGACAAAGGACGATCACAGGCAACCGACCCCTCCCCCCCCCGGCCTTTTTGATCCCCCCAAAACCTCAGCATGTCCCAGCTAGTTATAATATCACCCTCATTATTCGAGATCTCAGACTCTACTGTAGCGGGGGGCGGGGGACGCTCACCAGGCTCCCCCGCCGCGGTAACGTTGGCGACCACGTCCCAGTAGTCCGCGGACTTGAACTTGAGGCGAGCGCGCTCGCGTTCGACCACCATCGCCAGCGCCACGCTCTGCACCCGTCCGGCGCTAAGCCCCGGAGCGACGAAGTTCCAGATGACCGGGGTCAGGGTGAAGCTGTGTGAACCAGCACGCACGGGCACGGAGAGAGGGGGCGCATTGTTGTCTAGTAGAAGTACTATAAATACTTTATGACAGGATGAGGGAACGCGAGCGAGAGGGGGGGGGGGGTACTCATAGTCGTGCATGCCGCAGTCATTAGACCATTGGCCTCGCATCCCTATAAAGCCGGGACGAAGCACGCCGGGTTCACAAAGGACCAGGCTCTCACATCACCAAGCGCGAAGGGTCGTGAGGTATTGGGGGGGGGCGGGGGGGCGTACTCTTATGTTTTGCATGCCTAAGCGGTTAGACCATTGGCCATGCGTCCTCGAGAGGACGGAGCATTGTTCCCACGGGACCGATCACCGATGGCCAATCGTTCCTTCCTACTTTACCAAAGGTGGCTCAAAAATGTCTTCCCTAGTCTATCTACCCTATCGATATCACTTACAGCCTTTTGAACCCACTTCCAATGTCCCAGTACAGCTATCGTCTTCTCCTCGCTATTACATGCCTCAAGCATTTCCCTGTATCTCCCTTCTGCTTTTCCCAGCTCAGTCCTGTACACTTCCCTCTCCTTGTACAACGGACATTCCGCAACTACATGAACCCGGTCTTCGCATTCGAAGCCGCAATCACACTTGAACTTGTTGTCATTAACCTTCAAAAATCTTTGTCTACGGCCTATGTTGGCCAATGTCGCCGGTCCTAAATTTGACCTCCAGCTTCATCCCTGCATCCATCAGTCTATGTAGGTGCTCCTTGAACCCTATTCATTCTTTCAACATTCCGTACGCGTCTTGACGCTCTGTATCCTTGGTTTCTTTGGCTAGATTCTGCTCTTCTCTCTCAGCAAAAGCAACAGATATTGTTATGGTATTTGGAGGTAGACATGTGATGGTGGTTGACCATAGTCATTTGGCGTCGTCAGATGGTATGACGTGACGTCATGCAAGATGTGGACTTCATGTCGAGGCATGTGCCCTTCTGTTCAGTGCGCAGGCGATCGGGTGATGGTGTGTGCGTGGGATCTGCGTGAGTTGACTCGGGAAAGCGTTGATCAAGAGAAAGAGAACAACGGAAAGCAACAACAACGTGCACCTGTGGTCAGACAAGAGAGTTCCACACAGCACAAAGGTGATTGATTCTGAAGGAAGGTGTCAAATCTCATTAGTTTGTAATGAAACTTGACACCTTCCTTCAGAATCGGTCACCTTTGTGCAGTGTGCA